TCCCCCTCTAAACCACCAGGAAATACACTTCTACATCCAGTGAAAATATCCTTCACGAATGGAGGCAAAATAAAGATGTTGTTAGATGAGGAAAATCAAAATAAATTTTGCCAACACACATGCTCTAGAAGCATTGCTAAAAGGAAGTTAATCAGATAGAAGGCAGATGATAACAGAAAGAAACCTGGAGCATCAGGGACTGAAATGGTAAATATCTGGGTAAACACAATAGACTATTCTCCTCTTGAGTTCTTTTTAAAATATTTGATAGTTGACGGCAACTATGTGCCTAATGGGGTTTACAGTTCTAATGCATATGACAACTATAACATAAAAAGTAGGGAGAAGACTTCCGGTCAAGATGGCGGCGTAGGAAAGCGTGGTATCGCGTCCTCCCACAACCACATCAAAATTACAACTAAACTACAGAACAACCTTCATTCAAAACCACCTGAAATCAAGCTGAACGGAAGTCCTGCAACTACGGAATTAAAGCAGCAACCTCATTGAGATGTAGGAGGCACAACGGGCTGGTCCCACACCCATGTGTGCTGGATAAAAATCAGGAGGACACCTCGGCAGGGAAGGTCCTCCCTGAGGACTGAGGGGTCCCCGTCCCACACCAGACGCCCCGCTCAGGGTTCCAGTGCCAAGAAGAGAAGTCCCTGTAACTTCTGGTTGTAAAAACCAGCGGGAACTGAGACTCAGGGAAGTTGATGCAGCTGGAGCCCCAGGCAGCTCCTTAAAGGGCCCGCGCACGAACTTATCGGACTCACTCCCTCTAAACTCAAAGGGGAGGCAGCTCAAGGGGCGCCAGAGACATACAGGGAAGAACTGAGCTGTTTGGCACTGGAGCAAGGGTTGGAGAGGGGACTTTCTCTGGGACAAATGTGCTGTCAGAGGCCTCTGTTCCTTTTGTGAGCCCTTCCCTGGGGCGGCAGACAGCTGCCATATCTGGGACTCCAGCAACCTGGCTCACACTGGTAGCCCCGCCCTGGTGATTCCCTGAGGCCCCGCCCCACCCAACTTTCAGGCCCATCCAAGCTGTTGCCAGTTGCTTTACCATATGATTGGCCTGTCTCAAATCCTGCTTCAGGTTTTCCTAAATTCTTTCAAACAAGCAGCATCTGGTCTCAGCTAGCCCCATACTTCTCATTAATACACAGAAACAAACACAGGGAGGCAGCCAAAATGAGGAGACAAAGAAACAGGTCCCAAATGAAAGAACAGAACAAAACGCCAAGAAGAGAACTAAGTGAAATGGAGATAAGCAACCTAACAGATGCTGAGTTCAAAATACTGCTTATAAGGATGCTCAATGAACTGAGTGAGAACCTCAGAGAACCGAGTGAGGGCCTCAAGAGCATAAAAAAGGACCAGTCAGAAATGATGTATGCGTGGTCAGAAATGAAGGAGGCATTAATTGAAATAAAGAATAATTTACACAGCCCTGGCCGGTTTGGCTCAGCGGTTAGAGCATCGGCCTGCGGTCCGGAGAGACCCGGGTTCGGTTCCCGCTAAGGGCATGTACTTCGGTTGCAGTTTGTCCCCGGCCCTGGTTGGTCGTGCGGGTGGCAGCCACTCGATGTGTCCCTTCACGTCGATGTTTCTCTCTCTCTCTTCCTCTCTCTCCCTCCCACTCTATCTGTACAAAAAATGGAAAAAAAAAAAAAAAGAATAATTTACACAGATTCAATAATAGAGTACGTAAATCCAAAAAGCAAACCATTGGTTTGGAATATAAGGAAGCAAAAACCACCCAATCAGATCAGCAAAAAGAAAAAAAGAATCCAAAAAAAATGAGGATAGTGTAAGGAGCCTCTGGGACAACTTCAAGCATGCCAACATTTACATCTTGGGGATGCCAGAAGGAGGAGAGAGAGAACAAGAAACTGAAAACCTGTTTGAAACAATAATGGCAGAAAAATTCCCTAACTTGGTGAAGGAAACAGATATACAAGTCCAGGAAGAACAGAGAGTCCCAAAGAAAATGAACTCCAAGAGGCCCACACCAAGACACATCATCATCAAAATGCAAAAGGTTCAAGACAAAGAGAGAATCTTAAAAGCAGCAAGAGAAAAGCAGTTAGTTACCTACAAGGGAGTTCCCATAAGCTGTCAGCTGATTTCTCAAAAGAAACTTTGCAGGCCAGAAGGGAGTGGCAAGAAATATTCAGAGTTATGAAAAGCAAGAACCTACAACCAAGATTACTCTATCCTGCAAAGCTGTCATTTAGAATCGATGGCCATATAAAGAGTTTCCCAGACAAGAAAAAGTTAAAGGAGTTCATCACCACCAAACCATTATTATATGAAATGTTGAAGGGTCTTTTTGAAGAAACAGATAAAATATATGAACAAACAAAATGGCAATGAATACATATCTATCAACAATGAAATCTACAAACAAAATGAACAGGCAGAACAGAAACATTTTCATAAATACAGAGAACATTTTGTTGGTTGCCAGATGGGAGGGGGGTTGGGGAATGGGTGAAAAAGATGAAGGGATTAAGAAGTACAAATTCATTGCTAAACTGACAAACCTCAAAGGGAAAGGGGTTGGGGGTGGGAAGAAATAAACCAAAGAACGTATATGCATAACCAATGGACAAAGACAACAGTGTGGGAAAGGACGGGAGGGGGCGGGAGTAGGGGGGAGGGGGGGGTCAATGGGAGAAAAATGAGGAACATCTGTAATACATTCAACAATAAAGATTTTAAAATCTTTTTCTTTTTTTTTTTAATCCTCACCCGAGGACATTTTTTGTTCAGATAGAGCGGGAGGGAGAGAGAGGAAGAGAGAGAGAGAGAAACATCGATGTGAAGGGACACGTCGAGTGGCTGCCACCCTCACGACCAACCAGGGCCGGGGAAAAACTGCAACCGAGGTACGTGCCCTTAGCGGGAACCGAACCCGGGTCTCTCTGTACCGCAGGCCGACGCTCCAACCGCTGAGCCAAACCGGCCAGGGCGATTTTAAAATCTTTTTAAAAAAAATAAATAAAATAAAAAAAGCTATACATAGTAAAAAAAAAAAAAAAAGTAGGGAGAAGATAAAGGGACTTATATGGGGGTAAGAATTCCACTTGAGATAGTCAAATATTGATTCCAAGCTGACTGTGAAAAGTTACTTATGTTATTACAATCCCTAGAGTAACTACTAAAAATAATATACAAAGAGATATGGTCATAAACACAATAGATAAATTAAAACAGAATACTAAAAAGTGTTCAAATTAGCCAAAAGGTTAGCAAAGGGAACAATGAACAGATAATAAAATGTTACACCCGATTTCTATATACCATATTGTGAAGGTAAGAATAACTGTTGGAGAAATTAACTTGTTACCAGTCTAGTACAGCAGGTACTTGAATAACGTCATTTCATTATAAAGTTGATGAGATGTCTTAGGAACTTAACACTTGTTTATATCAATTAGCCTAAGGTAAAATTGAGTTCATTATACTTCGTTTCACTTAAAGTTGCTGAATCTGTTGATGATAATGAGGATTAACTGTATTGAACATCACCAAAGGGTCTGAATTTGAGGTTAATTAACTGCAGAGGATATTTAGAGACCATAGCATCAGGGATCAGGAGGCCCTTTTGGCGTGGACATCACATTCACAAGGGGCCTCCTATTTACTTTTCACAGTACCTCAAATAGTATGGTCAAAGACAGGATTGCAATAAATTCATTCAACTTTTTTTTCTTTATTGATTTTAGAGAGAAGAGACAGAAACATGAATGAGAGAGAACACTGATTGGCTGCCTCTTGCATGCCCCCGACTGGGGATCAGGCCCACAACCTGGGCATGTGCCCTGATGTGGAATCCAACCAGCAATCTCTTTCTTGGTGCATAGGCTGACGCTCAACCGCTGAGCCACAGTGGCCGGGCTCATTCAACTTTATATACCTTAAAGTCCTATTATGACCTAAGGAGTAACATATTTATTTGACTCGATACATTTTTAGGTATTGAAGGTGTGTAACTTGCTAAATAGCATTTAAAATCTACCATAATTTTGCCACACTGTTTTGGAGTTATTTTAATTTTTAACATACTAAGAGCCCCTGCAGGCCGCTGTGGACTGAGCGTCCCATGGACTGAGAAGGTCCGGTTGGATTCCAGGTGAGGGCACACGCCTAGGTTGCCAGCTCCATCCCCAGTAGGGGACCTGCAGGAGGCAGCCAATAGATGTTTCTCTCTCTCTCTCCTTAAAAAAAAAAAAAAAATCAATAAAAACATAATTTTTAAAATATACTAAGAGCTCCCCAAAATGGAAGAAGCCTGAATCCCCTATCTCTGCAAATAATTGCTTTCACTGGGAATTTACTCTGTACTTGGCCCTTGAGTAGCATCGCCTTCACAAGTCTTTTTTTTTTTTTTTTTATCCTCACCCGAGGACATTTTTCCATTTTTTGTTCAGACAGAGCGGGAGGGAGAGAGAGGAAGAGAGAGAGAGAAACATCGACGTGAAGGGACACATCGAGTGGCCGCCACCCGCACGACCAACCAGGGCCGGGGACAAACTGCAACCGAGGTACGTGTCCTTAGCGGGAACCGAACCCGGGTCTCTCTGTACCGCAGGCCGACGCTCCAACCGCTGAGCCAAACCGGCCAGGGCTTCACAAGTCTTGATGTAGGCAGTATAATCCCCATTTCAAGGATGAAGAAATAGGAGTTTACAGAAATTGCCAATAGAGCAGTCTCTCCAGCTCGGGAAATCTAATTAACCCCGCCCGAGCTCTGAGCCCATCCACACTGCCTGAGCCTTTCAGGGCCCAAATTGGGCGGTCATCTAGACAGGCCCCAGAGGTTACGATCCACGGAGGCCTAAACCCTCTCCCCTCCTCCTCAACCTCCTCAAGCCGTATCCCAACGTCGCCCTTCCTAACCTAGAGAGTAGGGAGCACGCGGTAGGCTGTGCTGCGCATGCTCGGCCGCAGAGCACGGCGGGAAAGGGGTCGGGCCTAGGCGACCTTCCGGTCCCGTCGGAGTTCCTGTGAGAAACCTCGCGTGGCGAGCGTCCCGGAGAAATCAGTAAGCTTCCGGACGCTCCTGTGTGTCCGTCCGTTTGGGTGCCTTACGGATGGGCGGGGAGATTCTCCTGTGGAAGGGAGGAGGAAGCCTCGCGTCGGGCAGAGTTTCTAGAGACGCGGCCGTGCGTGCGGATTCCGCCATTAGGGGCTCGGGAGTTGCGGGGGAGTGCGGGGGGTTGTCAGGCCCCTGGTTTGTGTTTGTCGTCTCCATGAACCTTTTCCCGGCAGAGTCGGGGGGTCACCGGCCCCCACTTCCAGCGTTTCTCGCCGCCTGCGGCGTCTGCATCGTAACTGGGCTTTCAGCCTTTGGTCTCTTCGCGGCTTCCAATTCTAAAACGTTCATCTTGGTAACATTTGTGGCTTCTCCTTCCTTAAGTAATGATTGTTTTCAACCTTGAAAACCTGGCATTCCTTTTGCAAATTGAATTGTACACGGGATCTCAGCTAAAACAAACAACAGAAAAACATTAGTTAAAAGTTTGACTCTTGAATTCGGACTCGAAATGAGATTAGAAAGTGCACTTTTTATCACTTTATTTCAGTATTTTGCTTTAGCGTAGAGGATTTAGAGTATCTCGGTATTTGCAAACGGAAACGTTTCAGCTCAGGATGCAGTATCGGCATGCGTACTTTTCAGTTAAACCAAATCAAAAGTTGGAAAGTAAATAAGTGGAGAATCTTCTGTTGAGAGTTGAATCACCAATAACATGTAACAATTACAGTACATGTATTCTTCATCACAAATTTATGAGACAAGAAGCCCATAAAATTTATAACAAGAACTAAATGACAACACTTTGCCCATTTAAGTCCTAGTTTAAGGCAAGAGCATTAGAGAAGTGGATGCTCTTGCTAAAATAGTGAATTTGCTTCTAGGATATTCTGTGGTGAAAAAGGTTAGGTGTAAAGCTGTAACCTTCCTTGTCAGTGACATAGCTACAAGGAATTGAATTATATGGCAGGAAAAGCTATTTTCTGAAGGTCTGTGTTAACCTAGCACAAATTAATGCTTTGGACATCTCCAAAAAGTATTTAACATTAGTATATAATACATTAAGTGTATCTCATGATTTTATTAGTTTTTTTAAGTGGGTTTTTATTTTTTAATCCTGACCTGAGGACATTTTTCCATCTTTTTGTTCAGATAGAGTGGGAGGGAGAGAGAGAGAAAAACATCGACATGAAAGGGACACATCAAGTGGCTGCCACCTGCATGACCCAACCAGGGCCAGGGACAAACTGCAACTGACATATGTGCCCTTAGCGGGAACCAAACCTGGGTCTCTGGACCTCGGACCAATGCTCTAACCGCTGAGCCAAACCGGCCAGGGCAGGTTTTTATTTTTAAATGAAATGTTTGCCAAACCTGAAAAACTACTTATTTACAAGATTAATTTCAACGTTTTTGGTGTTCAAAGACCTTCCTGCTTCTCCAACTTCATTGCCTTTCACTACCACCCTTGCATTTTATCTTTAATAGTAAATCCACTCCTTATAGTTCCCATATACTTACACTTTGTACATGCTGTCCCTATTCCTTGAATATCCCTTCTTACTGCTTCATCCTCTCCCTTCCTCTCTCTAAATATCAATGAAAAAGTTTAAAAAAAAGAAATCTCGAGACCTGTAGAAAATTTTTATTTGAGCCAAACTGATGGCATATGTTAGGAAGCAAGATGCCCTGGAGAAGAACCATTTTGCAGTTTCTTTTATACATCTGAAATCATGGAGGGGACCTAAGAAAGATTACACAAAGGTCAGAAAAAGCAAGGTGGTGATTGGATTAAAGAATAGTTAAAATTATTTGCTCTCTTGAGGATGGTTACATCTTGGAGGGGTCTAAAAGGTGGCATTTCAAAGGTGTGTTAAAATAGATGCACAGAAACAATGAACAGGGCTTGTTTAAGACAAAGGTAAACTTCCTACTAAAAAGTTATGGGGCTGGGGCATGACTACCCACCATGACCTGCCCAGTTAGGAATTTATAATCAGATCACCCTGTGAAGTTACTTTCCATAGAACCCTTTCTTTTGTCCACATGAGAAATTATGCATTGGAGGAACATACTTAAGAAGCAGGTGGGGAAAAAATGTTTGAAAAGAAGACTGGCAAAGATGTAGATGTAGGAGAAGAAATAGTTCTTGAAATCATAGGACTGGAGAGAATTTCAAGGAGGGAAACTGGTTCTTAGGGCAGTTGCTTTAGATGTTGGATCCTTGAATGTATTCAAGTGCTTATATATGAGAAGAATTAATAAGTATAGGAAGAGGAGTTGATGCAGATAACTGGCTCTATAGAAGGGCAGTGGTGGGGAAAGGCAGTGAGTTCTGGTGATAGGATTAATGGCAGATAAAAGCTTTATGTTTTCTAAGGCTTTCTGATAAATTTTAAAAAATCTTGTGGGCTTGGTGGTGTTATACTGTAATCAGACCAGAGGAATTAGAAGTGGAGAAGACTAGTCCCAGAAGAAAGCATAGACGTGTATCTATAGGAGAAATGGAAAGCAACGCTATATTGGGGAAGAGTGAATGAAGCGAAGAAAGTCGGTGTTGGTACCATGAGAACCTCGAGTGCAAGCTGTCTAAAGAAGACCCTTTTGTGCTGTTAGCAGCAGAAAAATGACACCAAGTGTTAACCTTGGTTCAGCAACCTCAGTTCTTGAGTTCTGGCTAAGAATAATTAAAAGCCAAGACTCAAATTATAAGAGGAAGTTTATTTAGAAAGTCACAGAGGTAGAAGTGAGCCATAAAGGGGAGGGGAAAGGGAGAGGAAGTTCTTCATCAATTCATATTTTGTTTTAGGGATCTGGAAACTGTTCCCCAAGAAGAAAGCCATTACTTTGGAACTGGAGAATTCCTTTACATTAGATACTCAAATGAAAGAATCACCGACAGAGGATGAAAGTGACAAGGCAGTGGCACCACAGCTGCCGCAGCTGGACAAAATTAAGACAGAACCTGACAATGCTCAGGTAAAATAGTACCTTGTTTTCTTTTTTCTAGAGCAGCGTTAAATTATCAATTTTAGTTATTTAGATGCTGTTTTATTGGTTGAAAATTTTAAATCCCAAAGCAGTTGATCAAATAATACAAGGTATGTGGTGTTCAGTACCAAAACAAGTATATGCAAGAATGTGATTTAACAAAACAATGAGCCGTTTGGATTGATAAAAGGATTGCTTAGGATATCAAGGGCCTAAAGTTAACATATTTCTTTTTTCTTAACTTGAAACAATACAAATAACTAATTTTATGTTTTTATGCTACTGCCTCTGTTAAGTTGTAGAATATATTTAGAATTATTTCCTTTATAATATTTTAATCCAAGTTAGTTTCATGTTTTTGTTCTTAAACTCTTTTAGACATTGCATGCTAAAGAACCTATAAAGGATTAATTGATTCAAGCTGTGAGTATTCTTTAGGGCCAAATTTCCTTTCAATATTTGCATACAATCTAGCTGAAATTTCTAATGAAGCAAAAAATAAATTCAGTTGTAATTTATTTCTAAGTATTCTGCTTAGAAATACCCTAAAGTAAATCAGTATCAAGTAAGGATATGACTCCCATTGAGCTGGTGACAGTGTGGAATATCCATCGAGGAAGTGTCTGTTGCTTTTTCAGCCTATACACATCAAAAACAGTTTAGATAGATGGCCTGCTGCTGTGAAAACAATCCTCCTTTGTAAAACTTATTTAGCCCAGTTGAACAATTTTTGTGTTCAAGGTCTTTATGAAAATAATTAGCTGAAGTCACATTTAGGTGCAATAGGAAATAATGTAGTAATTGATTGGTGTTATTACCCAAAGGTCACCAAAAGGGCAGTGCTTACCGTTTGTACCATGATTCAATTCAATTATACAATTCACTGAATAGACTTGAGCATAATTTATCGTTTTCTATCAAATAAGTGGTTGTTTATAATACATTGTATTCATTATTTTCAATTTTTTTAGGAGTATTGTCAAGCCCTACAGTCCAAAACTAAGGAGAATGAACAGAAAATAAATACTACATTTTCAGACAGTGGTAATAGAATTGTTTAAGTTAATCTTATTTATTCTGACCCATGTGATAGCCAATTTATTCTGCTTCTTTTAGAATGCCTTTGAATAGTAAATTGCTTTGAATTTTAAGTCCAGAAGTAACTTCTAAAATTATTTTTAAAAGCATACTTAATTTTATGTAAATACTAAATTTTTTCCTTCTTGTTATATGTTTATAGCTTCACAGAGGACTACAGTCATCCAGCCTTCTCTGGCATCATCTAGCATGCATAAAATGCTTCCTTCAGTTTCAACCACAGCTGTTCAGGTTTCCTGTTCTGGTTGTAAAAAAGTTCTCCAGAAGGGGCAAACTGCTTATCAGAGAAAAGGATCTACTCAGCTTTTCTGCTCCACACCATGCATCACTGAATACATTTCATCTGGCAGTTCATCGGCTCTTCCCAAGAGAGCTTGTGCAAACTGCTCAAAGTATATCATTCTAAATTATGCCCCATTTTACTTCCCTACCTAGATCTTGATCAGAGTCTTGGCTGTAGTTTTCTACATTTTCATTTTTTCTGAAGAAGTATCACCTTGGTTTAGGGAAAAGAAGCTACTTCTGCTTTCATGTCCTCTAATAGAGTCTTTGGGGGGGGGGGGAGCGGTGTTGTTATTTATTGAGATATTTGCCAATTTAAAAAGTGAGTTCCATTTCTCTTCAAATTTAAACAATGTGACCCCCAAAGTTTATATGTATGCCCATTTTACTTTATCATTTAACTGTATAGGGAGCAACAGTTAAAAATTAATCATATAACAGTTATCTTGTATCTTCCAAGGTATAAAAATTATGTTTCTTTTGCCATGGTAAATGAAGTTATTTAATTCTCTCAAAAAATTGAATAGCCATAGATAAACACATGGATGGATGTAATGTTTTCAGGACTTTTGTGAGCTTTTGTTTTGGTCTTGGTTACTTTTTTACATATGTAAGTCATTTTAGATGCAGAGAAAGAAGGTAGTAGTAATTTTATAATGAATTCATGAAAAATGTCCAGAACTTTGAACTCTACTCTGAGATGTATACAGGATCAGTGCTTTGAGAGTCTTATCTAGTATAATTCTGGTTTGTTAATGCTCATTAAATGATAATGCTAAGTTTTAAATGTATTTGATTCGAAACAAAACACAATAGGCCACAAATTTTACTTCTAAATATAATAAATTCCTTTCAAATAATGTCTTGTTTTGGAATCAGACTGCCATAATTTGAATCTTTTTTTTTTTTTTTTTTAAATTTCTTTTTTCTTAATTGATTTGAGAGAGAGAGAGAGACATCAATGAGAGAGAACATCGATTGGCCACCTCCTGCATGTTCCCCTCTGGGGAGTTGGCCCACAACCTGGGCATGTACCTTGACCGGGAATTGAACCGGTGACCTCTTGGTACATGGGTTGGCGCTCAACCACTGAGCCACACCAGCTGCATAATTGGAATCTTGAATCCTCCATTTAGTTACATTTTGCTACTCAAAGTGTGATCCTTGCATAGCTGTATTAGTATTAATTGGGAAGCTTGTTAGAAATGAAGAATCTCAAGTCTCACCCAGACCTGCTGAATCAGAACTGCCTTTGTCCCCAGGGGATTCACATACAGTAATCCTCCCTTATACACAGGGGATATGTTCCGAGTGCCCCAGTGGATTCTTGATACCACAGGTAGTACCAAACCCCATATGTATTGTCTTTTCCTGTACAAACATCTTTATGATAAAGGTTCAGTAAGAAATTAACAAGCCCTGGCCAGTTTGGCTCAGCGGTTAGAGCATTGGCCCGTGGACAAGAGAGGCCCAGGTTCGGTTCCCACTAAGGGCACATACCTCAGTTGCAGTTTGTCCCCGGCCCTGGTTGGGGTCATGTGGGTAGCAACCACTGGATGTGTCTCTCTCACATCGATGTTTTCTCTCTCTCTCTCTTATTTTCTTCCTCCCTCTCTCCTTCAAGATAAATGCAAAAAATGTCCTTGGGTGAGGATTAAAAGAAGAGATTAACAATAATAACTAATACTAAAGTAGAATTGTAGCAATATACTGTAATAAAACTTGAGTGAATGTGATTTCTCTCACTCAAAATATCTTATTGCACTGTACTCACTGATGATGCAGTGACTCCGGGTAATGAAACGGCAGGAAGCAAAACCTTGCATAAGAGGGGACTGCTGTACATGCTGAAGTTTGGAAAGGATTGAGATCTTAATATTTCCATCTGTTTTGTTAAATACATAAAAATTATGAATATTAAATAATATATTTTGTGATCAGAACAATACTGGCATATAGTAAGAACTCAGATATCACTATTATAATTCTCTTAACAAATTCACAAACTTTTTATTAGTTGCTTCAGTTCCTCGGTTGGCTGCTGTTTCAGGTGTCATCCATTGCTTCAAGTCTTATATTCTCTTGTCCTTTTTCAACACTTTAATACTATGTCTTTTTTCTTTTTTGCTATGGGCTGTATGACAATTTCTTCAGCCTGCTTTCTTCTGCAGAATAATAAAACTGGAAGGGACCTTAGAGGTCATCCTGTCCATTTTCTTTTGTTTTGAAGAAACTGAGACCCTGAGAAGTTAAGGTATCGTGTTGCTATGTTTGCAGTTTACCCATTATACATCTTTAGCAGATCTCCTAGACAGACCAAAAAGGTTAAAGCAGAAAGGATTTAGTGTGTAAGTTGTTTTCCAAGGCAAAGAAATTGAATATGAGCAAAATATATATGAAACAGGTTTTACTTCCTTTGGAATAATTTCTTTTTCATGCAGAATGCTCTTTTATAGGTGGGCCATCCATTGTGCAGAGGAACCTGTGCTTTTTTTCAAGAAGCTTTTTATTCCACATTCATTAGCCCCTTAAAGTATAGCTCTCAAGATTTTAGCTAATTATCTATTACTGTTGAGGTTTGATAGCAATGATTTTAAATATTATTTGAGTTAATGAAGTTCTTACTGTATTTTATAAATGAGATGAAAAAAAGATTTGAAAATGACATTTAAATTCATGTTAGAAAGATAAGACTTTTTTGAGAGCTGTTTATTTAAGAAGTGTCATTTCTGCCCTTTTTTTTTTTTTTTCCTTTATTGATTTTAGAGAGGGAGGAAGTGAGGAGAGATAGAAACATTAATTGGCTGCCTCCTTGCATGCCCCCCACTGGGGATCAAGCCCACAACCTGGGCATGTGTCCTGACTGGGAATCAAACCAGCGACCTGTTGGTGCATGAGTCAACGCTCAACCACTGAGCCACACCGGCCGGACCATTTCTGCCCTTTAATATCCCACTTGGAATCAATCAGAGATCTTGAGAATATTCAGTAGAGTTCAAAATAGACCCATGTACTAATGCTGAACACTTATTTTTAGGAAAGTTCTTCAGACCTATGCTCAGAGTTTGTTTAAGCTCATTTTAAGCACTTGTGACAAAATTCACTGTGAGATTTTATGTATCAGGCCTTATTAATTAGAAGCCAACAATCTAATAAACTAATAGCCGCATAAACAAGTAAGCATTTTCAGAGTTACATGCTTCTGTCAACGCAATCTTCTGCCTCTCTTCTCATCTGGCTAATTTTATGTCTTAAAAGGTCTGCCTCAAATATCTTGACCTCATCTAGTTTCACATCATTGCTTCCTCTTTTACTACCCTCCACCCACCCAGATTAATTGTTTCACAGTATGTTGTTATAGTGTTTATAATTCCCAAAGCATTGATCATAAAATTAATGGTTTTTTTAATCCTCACCCTCACCCGAGGATATTTTTCTATTGATTTTTTTTTTTTTTCAGATAGAATGGGAGGAAGGGAGGAAGAGAGAGAAACATCGATGTGAGAAAAATACATCGATTGTCTGCCTCCCGCAAAAACCCACCAGGGCCGGGGATTGAAACTGCAACTGAGGTACATGTCCTTGACCAGGAATCAAACCCACAGCTCTTTGGTCTATGGGCTAGTGCTCTAACTGCTGAGCCAAACTGACCAGGGCTAAACTTAATGTTTTTTTTGTTTGTTTGTTTTATCCTCACCTGAGGACATTTTTCCATTTTTTGTTCAGATAGAGTGGGGAGGGAGGGAGAGAGAGAGAAACATCGACGTGAAAGGGACACATCGAGTGGTTGCCACCCTCATGACCCAACCGGGGCCAGGGACAAACCGCAACCGAGGTACATGCCCTTAGCGGGAACCAAACCTGGGCCTCCCTAGACCACAGGCCAACGCTCTACCGCTGAGCCAAATCGGCCAGGGCTAAACTTAATGTTTTTAAAGAATTGATACTGCCCAGATTAGATGATGAATTTAACATTAGAAACTAGATTATAGTCATCCTTATATCTCTGTTGCCTACATACTGTCTAGCACAAAGTGAATCCTGGAATTTTTGTCATAAAGTACAATAGCACAACTCAGACTACATTTAGAGCTGTGTTTTAAACCAGTAAAAATGATGTGATAATGAAATGAACCTGTTATTTTTAGTACTGTATGTTTAAAAGGGTAGAAAAATCATACATAATACACTAAAACTTTGTAAATGTTGAACTACTAAAATAGTGTTGCCTTCAGGAGTATTTAATCTGAAAAACTGTTATCCTGAAATATTTATATTCTGGGGGTTCTAGGTAGCCAGGTGTGTTGGTTATATCCTGTAGCAGCAGCTCTCAAATTTAAAACTATTAACTGATTTAAAATAATAAACTCAGTGCACATCGACATCAATATTTTCATAAAAAATAGACATATTTTCTAATTTTGTAAGAGAAATTTTAAGAAAAATTTAGTGAGCATTGTTTTTATCAGTTTTACAGAACACCTTAATGTCTGGCTGGGTCTTCATATCTGCTTCTGTATCCAGTTTGTTGCAAAATGCTGTTTTGTTTGAAGTCTAAAGAAAATGTGGCCTTACAAAACATGTAACTGGGAAAGGGAGGAGTGTTCTATCAGCCTTTCAGATAATAGTGGATGCTCTTCCTGGATGCAACATCAGAAAACAAGTGATAGTTGTAATGTGTCATCTGAAACCATATTAATGAAGTTTTTGTACGGCTAAATTAAAATTCATTTGTCTATTTGCCTTGGCCGGTTTGGTTCAGCAGTTAGAGCGTAGGCCGGCTCTCAGACTGAGGGGTAGTGGGTTTGATTCCAGGTCAAGGGTGGGTACCTGGGTTGCAGGTCTGATCCCTGGCCCAGGCCGGGGTCATGTAGGAGGCAACCAATCAATGTGTCTCTCTCACATCGATGTTTCTCTCTGTCTCCCTCCCTCCCTTCCATTCTATCTAAAAAAAAAAAAAATCAGTGGAAAAGTATCCCCAGGTGAGAATTTAAAAAAAAATTAATTGGTCTATTTATACTTTGGTTCTTTTATCCATAAATTATTTTTTTACGTGCAATCATTGGAAAATAATTGCTTCACTGAGTTATGCAGATCTTCCAAATGTGGGCATATGTCATTATGCAGTATTTTAAAAATCACATTTGGCCCTGGCTGGTGTGGCTCAGTGGATTGAGTGTTGTCCCATGGTCTGAGAGGTCCCGGTTCAATTCCCGGTCCGGGCACTTGCCCAGGTTTCGGGCTCGATCCCCAGTGGGGAATGTGCAGGAGGAAACTGATGGATGTTTGTCTCTCTCCCCCATCTTCTTGCTCCAAAAAATCAATAAAAACATTAAAAAAAATTTTTTTAATAATTACATTTGGGTTTTGAAATCACTAATCTTATCAGAAAAGTCTAAGGGGAGCAATCAAGATACAAGTTCTCTAAAATTCTTATTTTCAATGAAAGCTTAAATTTTATCACTGGCAATGAATACTGCCAGTTGTCTTCTTTGAAGTAACAGTCTAACTTTATTCATTTTTGAGAAAATATCTGCCAGGTATCCGCTTCTGGTTAATAGTTGTTTTAAGTAAAAATGTATTTCATGGGAAAAGTAGCTAACTCAGGTTATAACCCTTAACATTCCCACATACGGTTTTCCTTGAGACAACCATCATACTTGGGTGCACAGGGCTACTTTATGCCCATATCCCATTTCATTACACAGAATATTGAAAAGATACGATGTACTCAAGAATCAAGTTTAATAAAGCAAGTAATTTTTACAGCAAATTCTTGGCAGTGAATAATACTAGTACATTTGGATGCCAGTTCCTTGATTTATGCTAAGGCTCTGGCAGTTTTACCCACTATTGCTTTTTATTTTTCCTCCCAAATTATTGAAGTGAAATTCACATAACAAAAAAAATTTTCAGTAGCACTTAGTACAATGACAGTGTTGTACAACTACCACCTCTATTCCAGTTCCAAAACATTTGTCACGACAAAGTAAAATGCCTTATTTAGTTTCTCCCCATTTCTCTCTCCTTTCCCCTCAACCCCTGGCAACCACCAACCTGGATTCTATCTATTTATTCTGGATATTTCATGTAAATGGAGTTCTACATGTGATCTTTTGTGCCTGACTTCTTTCCCTTAGCATGTTTTTGAGATTCATCCATGTTGTAGCATGTATATCAGTACTTCATTCTTTTTTATAGCTGAGTAATATTCTACTACATGAATATACCACAATTTGTTTATCCTTTCATTCATTGATGAACATTTAAGCTATTTTTAACTATTGTGAATAGTGCTGTTATGAACATGCATGTCAATGCACTTTTTCAAGTACTTGTTTTCAATTCTTTGGGGTATAAACCTAGGCACGGAATTATGGGGCACACCATTGCTTTGTTTTTTACTATGTTTTTATTGATTTTTTGTTTTGTTTTAGAGAAGAAGGGAGAGAGAGAAACATCAATCAGCTGCCTCCTGCATGCCCTCTACTGAGGATCAAGCCCACAGACCGGGCATGTGTCCTGCCCAGGAATTGAACCAGGACCTCTCAGTCCATGGGGCGACACTCAATCCACTGAGCCACTGGCCGGGCACGCACCATTGTTTTTCAAATATATGGTGAAAAAGGAAAATAGTATCTTAATATGGAAATAGTTTTGATTTTGTGGATTCCCTAAAAGTATCTGGGGGTATCCCCAGGGATTTGCAGACCATGCTTTGAAATCTTCATTCCTTCAGATTCCAAAGTTGGTCTGGTATAAATATGTAACTTATCATTTATTATCACTAGCACCAACTAACACAGGTTAGGCAATTCTTTTTTTTTTTTTATCCTCACCCGAGGACATTTTTCCATTTTTTGTACAGATAGAGTGGGAGGGAGAGAGAGGAAGAGACAGAGAGAGAGAAACATCGACGTGAAGGGACACATCAAGTGGCTGCCACCACACGACCAACCAGGGCCGGGGACAAACTGCAACCGAGGTACGTGCCCTTAGCGGGAACCGAACCCGGGTCTCTCCGGACTGCAGGCCGATGCTCTAACCGCTGAGCCAAACTGGCCAGGGCCAGGTTAGGTAATTCTTAAAACTGCATTATCAGATGTGTTTTATAATCCCTACTTTATAGATGAGTAAATTAACATTTAGGGAGCATAAATGACATGTAAGTAAAAGAACTGGATATCAAATTCAGGTTTTCTTATTTCAAGGCTGATACTGTTCCTACTGTTTCACAGTTCTTCAGGTAATTGAAACAGTAAAGGAGAGGGTTGTTTGAGGGAGTGATTTAGCTTATGAAGAGAAACTATAATTATGGTAAAAATATTTAATGGTGCCATTGTTATTTATTTTTAGAGACATTTTAAATCTAAAGGATGTCATCAGTGTCCAGCTGAAAGATACTACCTCTAGCAAAAATTTTTGCAGCCAATCTTGTCTAAGAAAACTATCTGTTAATTTGTACACTGACAGCATTTCAATCAAATGCAGCATGTGTCCGAAGACTACTCTTGTAAGTTGCAATTTTTTTCACCTTTAGGGACTCTGATTGATGTGCTTATATACTAGAATTTTGACTGAATCTTTGTATTTTTTATCCTAGAGTCAGTATGAAGTAGAATACCAGAATGTGAAATATACACTTTGCAGTAATGCCTGTTTATTAAAGTTTCACTCTGCCAACAACCTCATCATGAACTGTTGTGAGAACTGTGGAGCTTACTGTTACACTAGTTCTGATTTGTTCCATATACTTCAAATGGAAGGACAGTCCCATTACTTAAATAGTTCAAAGAGTATAACAGCATGTCAGCAGGTATGAATAAAGATCTGTTGCCTAAAGTGAGAATCACTCCCTTTGAATTTGACTGCATAGGACGCAAATTAAAAATTGAAGATTGAGCCCTGGCCGGTTTGGCTCAGCGGTTGGAGCGTCGGCCTGCGGTACAGAGAGACCCTGGCCCTGGTTGGTCGTGCGGGTGGCAGCCACTCGATGTGTCCCTTCACATCGATGTTTCTCTCTCTCTCTCTCTCCCTCTCTCTCCCTCCCGCTCTATCTGAACAAAAAATGGAAAAATGTCCTCGGGTGAGGATAAAAAAAAAAAAAAAAAAAAATTGAAGATTGAGTTCTTTCCATTAGTTGGCTTGTGAATGGTTTCACTTTAGGAAAATGTGGGGATATAGATTTTAGTACCTTTGGGAACAGTTGCAGTTGGTAAGATGGTGAAGGAGATGAAATAAAAGACTTCTGATAGTTCCTTCTTGTATAATAATTCATGATAAGTGCTAGAGGAAGATTTTTCTAAAGAATCTCAGGGTGCCCTGGCCAGTTTTGCTCAGTGGCTAGAGTGTAGGCCCGCAGACCAATGAGTCATGGGTTCAGTTCCGGTCAAGGGCACATACCTCGGTTGCAGTTCATCCTTGACCCTGGTTGGGATCGTGCAGGAGGCAACCAGTCGATGTGTCTCTCTCATGTCGATGTTTTTCTTCTTTCTCTCCCTCTCCCTCTCCCTCTCTCTCCCTCCCTTTCTCCTTCCCATTCTATCTGAAGATAAATAGAAAAACATCCTCAGGTAAGGGTTAAAAAAAAAAATCTCAGTGTAATTATCTTACCTTGAAAGGCAAGCAGATGGAAGCTTGTTTATAAATTACAAATAAAGTTGCATAGCAAAAATAATAGTTTACTGAAAAGACTCAGCCACAAAAGTATTTGTTTTTAATTCCATGTATTTCTTTACACCTAAGCAAGGTTAAGATAAATCAAGAATGCCATGCTTATGAGTCAGTCATAGGAGGACATAAACCAAGGAGAGCTTTAGGTGGGTGGTTCTGAGCAGAGAAGCTTTGGTAGACGGGGTGAACACTGGTCTGAGCCCCTTTCATGAGGTGAAACTCACAAATCTTGTTTAGATGATGTTATGAGACCCAACTCTATCCCTACAAGTTCTTTCTTTAAAACAAGCTACTGAAGATGGAGTCCTAACAAACCACAATTCAAGTAGGTCATTAGTGAGCCACATCTTTTTTTTTTTTTTTTTTTTTTTTTTTTATCCTCACCCGAGGATATTTTTTCCATTTTTGGTACAGATAGAATGGGAGGGAGAGAGAGGAAGGGAGAGAGAGTGAGAAACATCGACGTGAAGGGACACATCGAGTGGCTGCCACCCGCACGACCAACCAGGGCCGGGGACAAACTGCAACCAAGGTACATGCCCTTAGCGGGAACCGAACCCGGGTCTCTCCAGACCGCAGGCCGACGCTCTAACCGCTGAGCCAAACCGGCCAGGGCGAGCCACATCTTTTTTATGGCGGACTGCCCATACCAGAAAATATGTCTTAGGCGCAGAAATGGGAGAATGGAAGGCATGGAAGTCTTCTAAAGGCAAGAAATGTCATTGCTTGTTTTCCTTCTTTATCCCTTACACTTAAAAAATAGGCCTTGTCCTGTTTTTAAGAGCCTGTATTGAGGACTTCCTTATTCAGTCTAGGTAATGGGGCAGGGCCGATTTGGGTAGACGAGTTAAAAAGCACAACCTAACACTATGCACAGCTTTTAAGATATGTGTGTGATAGTGGTAATGGAGAAAATCCAAATTCTTAGTGAACTGTAATCAAGGATTAGAAAATGTTCAAAGCTATGACTCTAAATTTGGGGTGCCTTCTTAAAAAGTGGATTGTTTGGGCCGTGGCCACTTTGGCTCAGCGGTTAAAACATTAGTTCACGGACCAAAGGGTCGTGGGTTCGATTCCTGGTCAAGGGCATGTACCTGGGTTGTAAGTTTGATCCCCAGCCCTAGTTGGGGTGGTGAGGGAGGCAGCCAATTTATGTGTATGTCTCACATTGATGTTTCTCTCTCTCCCTCCTTCCCTTTCACTCTGTCTAAAAAATAAATGGAAAAATATCCTCAGGTTAGGATAAACAAATAAAAAAGATTGTTTGGTAGGTATATAATTATTTTGGATACTTTTTTTTTTCTTTATTGATTTTTAGAGGGAGAGGGAGAGAGATAAAAACATTGATTGGCCACCTCCTGCATGCCCCCCACTGGGGATTGGGCCCACAACCTGGGCATGTGCTCTGACTGGAAATCAAACTGGTGACCTCTTGGTCCATTTCTAGCTCCTCGATAGCACCAATAAAAGGCTTTCCTGAGTTGATGCCCAAACAGGCATTGAGGAAAAACCTATAGTTACAAGACTTTTCTTTATTAACATAAATTGGCTTTGATTGCCTGAACATCTGTGACAACTTTCCTCATTGCTTGCATATGTATTGTAATTGCTATTAATGTATCAGACAGAAAGTACAGATAGTTATCTAATAGATTGATTAATTTCCTGCATCTCAATCATTAACTCATAGTGCCTTTTCTGGATTTTAAGAAATAAAAATGTGGCTTCACTGTCATTATTTGTAGAGCAGTGCTATTGGGTATATTTTTATGATAGTCTATCTATTAAAAATGTGTCATATACCAGGAATATATTATTTTAATCTCTGACAGAAACCAGCCAGGACACTTACATCTGATCTTTGCAAATCACTGAAGTCGTCAGATGAAATGATTGAGATTACCAATGACTTGGGGAAGACAGAGCTTTTCTGCTCTGTTGATTGTTTCTCTGCTTACAGTAAAGCTCAGATGGAATCGTCTACAGGTAATATTTGCTTATTAATTAGAGGTTTAGTAACTACCAAAGAATATTAGTGCTTCATTTAATTTATAACTTTGATTCATTTCCAAATTAATTTAAAAGTCAGAACCATTCAAAACCTGTTGCAAAGAAATAGTTTCCTGTATTTTTATATAAAAGGAAAGCTACTTCACCACCAGAGTTTTAATATTTGTAAAGATTGTTGTATTCTAATAGAATCTTGTACTTAGCCCTGCTTTGTGAAAACAAGGCTATTAAAATTTTTACATGAAAGTAGAGCCAGTTGGAACTATTTTTAAGTTCATTAATAGAAAAGCACAGCTAGCCCTGGCCAGTTTGACTCAATGGTTAGTGTTTGCCCACAGACTGAAGGGTCACGGGTTCAATTTTGGTCAAGGGCATGTACCTGGGTTGCAGGTTCAGTCCCCAGCCCTGGGGTTGATGTGTGTCTTTCTCCCTCTTCCTCCCCGTCCCTTCCTCCCTTCCATTCTCTAAAAAAGTCGATGGAAAAATATCCTCAGGTGAGGATTAACAAAGAGAAAAAAGCACAGATAATCCAGGGCCAACTATGTCTTCCATCACAGGGTCACATAAAGGATCAGTGGTGCTATTTATATAGTGGAGTGAAGGATGCCCATGGGACTTCTACATTTTACATACTGGCTTATTATAGAAATCTCTGCAATACTTAGATAACAACCCAGCTTCATTCATGTTGAGGTTTGTGAATCCTGGAAGAGTTAGAAGTGATACCCATCAGGAGAATCTGTAGAAGTTTCTTTTCTGTTCTTCATGGGTAATTTCACAGAAATTGTGTGCAAAGGTAAAAGATATAAAATGATAGGATATGTAAAATATTGTTTCAGTGTTATTGATGTTATCTTAAAGAAACTAGCTATCCCTAAGCCCTAATGAAAATTACTCCAGTATCCAGCAATACCTAAAGCTATGAGGTATTTGCATTACTCTTTTTTTTTAATCCTCACGTGAGGATATTTTTCTCTTTATCATCAGATAGAGTGGGAGGGAGGTAGAGAGAGAGAGAGAAAGAGAGAGAGAGAGAAACATCGATGTGAGAGAGACACATAGACTGGTTGCCTCCTGCACAACCTAACCAGGGCCAGGGACGAACTGCAACCAAGGTATGTGCCCTTGACCAGAATCAAACCTGAGACTCATTGGTCCACGGGCCATTGCTCTAACTGCTGAGCTAAACCAGCCAGGGCTGCTTTACTCTTTGAAACACTTGTTGTTAAACAGTGCTTTCTGATTGATTCTGCCCGGTTTATAAGAAATCTTTTTATTTTTATCAGTAAATGTTCCCATGGTGCATGATACTTCAATAGAGCTCCTTTCTCCAGAGAAACATCTTTCTTCGAAGAAAGATACAACTCCTGTTATAAGCAATATTGTGTCATTGGCAGATACTCATGTTGCCCCACCCATCATGAACTCTGATGTCTTACAAGGTAAAAATTGAAGAACTGTTTAACATAGTACTGTTTTGCCATGCTTGATTAATCTGTCTATATTCTAAGGTTTTTTGTGTGTGTTGCCTAATATGAAAGAAGCAATTACAGCTTATGATGTTATTTTATAGATTATGGTATAAGATCTTGAATTTATGCTTTAACAGGTACAGTTTCTTCAGTAAGAGGAAATGTCCTATTGGATGTAAGTTTTTTATTTATTTGCTTTGCTATTGTCTTCTTTCTTAAGCTTTTTTTAAGTAATCATTTTGTACGTGTGTGTATGTGTATGTGTATGTATCTGAGCATATTCCTATTTTGATCCTAGAGCTCAAAAAAGTAGAGCACTATGCCTGGCTGGTGTGGTTCAGTGGATTGGGCGTCACCTCATGGACTAAGAGGTCCTGGTTCAATTTCTGGTCAGGGCACATGCCCGGTTTGCAGACTCGATCCCCCGTAGGAGGTGTGCAGGAGGCAGCTGATGTATCTCTCTCACATCGATGTTTCTGTCTCTCTCTCCCTCAAAAAAAAAAAAAAAAAATCAATAAAAACAAATTTTAAAATAAAGTACAGCAGTAATCAACACCTTTTGGTATTTATATTCAGTTTCCCAAATTTCAATGTTGAATTTAAATTATTAATAAGAGCCCTGGCCGGTTTGGCTCAGTGGTTGGAGCGTCGGCCTGGGACCAGAGTGTCCTGTGTTCGGTTCCCACAAGGGGCACGTACCAAATAAATAAATAAATAAATAAATAAATAAATAAATAAATAAATAAGAATATTTAAACAGAAGTATTAGTCATAGTTTTTCCTTTGGGTTATTTATCAATTTTAATATTTATTAAGCAGCCCTGGCCAGTTTGGCTCAGCAGTTAGAGCGTCGGCCCACGGACTAATGAGTCGTGGGTTCGATTCCAGTCAAGAGCACATACCTCGGTTGCAATTCATCCCCAGCCCTGGTTGAGGTTGTGCGGGAGGCAGCCACTCGATGTGTCTCTTTCACATCGCTGTTTCTCTTTCTCTCTCGCTCTCTTCCTCTCTCTCCCTCCCACTCTATCTAAACAAATAAAATGGAGAAATATCCCTGGGTGAGGATAAAATAAATAAATAAAAATATTTATTAAGCAGTTGCACTCACCTGAGCAAAAAAAAATTTATTATAATTACATACCAAAAGACCCTTTTAACAATTGATGTTGAATCTAGATGATAAATAGATAAGTTATAAATAATTGTTAATGTTTCCCCCTAGTGGAGCTCATGCTGCAACTTACCCACCCTCTTTATTGTTATTAGAATAGGTGCATTTGATTTTGTGGGGTTTTTTAAATTTATTTCAGAGAGAGAGAGGAAGGAAGAGGGAAAGAGAGATAGAAACGATGAGAGAAAACATCAACTGGCCGCCTCCTGCATGACCCCCACTGGGGATCTGGCCCACAACCTGGGCATGTACCCTGACTGGGAATCAAACTGGCGACCTCTTGGGGCATGGGTCGATGCTCAACCGCTGAGCCACACTGGCCAGGCAGGTGCGTTTGATATTTTAATTGCTTATTTGAAAACTCTGAAAGCAAATGTTATTTTATCATTTTCTCCTAAAGGTATTTAAGAGTTCACCCAGCGAGTCAAGCAGTGATGTCGCTAATAGCGTGGAACAGTCAAGCCTTTCACCATCTTCATCAGTACTCAGTCAGTATATATCCAGTATAGAAGTACAGAAAGATCAGGTGTCAAATCAAGATGATACACTCAATAAGAAATCTATGAAAATAAGAAATAGACTATGTTACCCAAAATTTACAACCAAAGTACAAAAAGTTAAAGGTAAATCCCAAAGTATTAAAACATTTTGGTGTTCAAATTTTCAGAAGTTAGACACCACTAGTAAAAAGGGTATGACATTCTGTTATTCGTGCCAGTTATTCTGCCAAAAAGCACATAGCTATGGAAGACAGTCATTTGCCACCCAAGGAATTTCTAATTGGAAAAAAACTCTGAAAAATTTCAGAAAGCATGAAAAAAGTATAATGCATTTGAAGTCATTACAATTTTGGAGGGAATACCAGTTTTGTGATGAAGCTGTCCATGGTAATTTATCTATTCATTCAAGACAGATTGAAGGAAATAAAACATACCTAAAGCTTATAATTGAAAATATTGTATTTCTTGGAAAGCAGTGTTTACCCTTAAGAGAAAAGGACCAGTCTATTTCATCTGTGAATAAAGGCCATTTTTTAGAATTGTTAGAAATCAGAGCAAAAGATAAGGGAGAAGAAATATTTAGACTTATGAATTCTCAAGTTGACTTCTATAATAGTACGCAAATTCAAAATGGTATTATTGAAATAATAAAGACTGAAATGTTGCAAGATATTGTGAATGAAATCAATATCTCCTCAGCTTTTTCAATAATATGTGATGAGGCAACTTATAGTACCACTAAACAACAGTTTTCAATTTGTGTGAGATATCCACAAAAAATTTCAGAGGCTATCTTAATTAAAGAAAGATTCCTGGGTTTCATAGATGTTGAAGAAATGACTGGAACCAACTTACACAGTACTATCACAACTTACCTGCAACAAATTGGAGTTGATTTAAATAAAATACGAGGCCAGGCCTATGATAGTACCACTAATTTGAGGGGAAAATTCAATAAAAGTGCAGCAGAATTCAAGAAGGAAGAGCCAAGAGCTTTATACATACATTGTTATGCCCATTTTTTGGATTTAGCAGTAATTAGGTTTTGTAGAGAAGTAAAAGAACTCCGAAGTGCTCTAAATACTCTCAGTTCTTTGTTCAACACTATTCATATGTCTGGGGAAATGTCTGAAAATTTTCAAAAGATTTGTAAGCTGAGTCAAAATAAAACATGCAAGAAACATGTATCACAATCATGTTGGACACTGCATGATCATACATTACTATCTGTGATTGAGGGTCTTCCAGAGATTATTGAAACATTGGAAGTTGTATCAAACCATTCTTCTAACACAGGTTTGGCTGATGAACTGAGTGATTTGTTGACATTGGTTTCCAAATTTGAATTTATCTTTTGTTTGAAGTTTCTTTATCAAGTATTAAGTGTTACAGGAATTCTTTCCAAAGAGCTTCGAAGTGAAACCACAGACACTTTTTCGTTGTCTTCAAAAATAGAAGCAATTTTGGAATGTTTATCATCTGAAAGAAATGATGTTTCTTTCAAAATTATCTGGGATGGAGCAGAAGAAATATGTCAAAAAATAACCTGTAAAGGTTTTGAAGTTGAAAGACCTTCTTTTCATAAAAGAAGAAAAATTCAGAAAAAAATAGATCTTGGCAATTCAGACAGTATGTTTTCTCCTACTTCAACAGAAGAACAATATAAAATTAATCTTTATTACAAAGGATTAGATACTGTGTTACAGAATTTAAAACTATGTTTTTCAGAATTTGATTATTGCAAAGTGAAGCAGATTTCAGAACTATTATTTAAATGGAATGAACCATTAAATGAAGCAACAGCCAAACATGTGCAAGAATTTTACAAACTTGATGCAGATATCATCCCAGAACTTAGATTTTATCGGCAATATGCAAAGCTCAACTTTGTCATGGATAATGATCATATCAACTTTATCAATCTTGCCTATTGGTTTATTCAGCATGGTCTTCATAACAATATTCCTTGCATATCAAAGCTACTGTATATTGCTTTGTCTTGGCCAGTTACTTCAGCAAGTGTTGAAAACTCATTTTCTGTACTGTCTCGTCTTAAAACATATTTATGTCATACCATGGGACAAGAGAAGTTTAGTGGCTTGGCCCTAATGGCTGTTGAACAGGAATTAGTAAATAAACTGCTGGAGCCTGAAAGACTCAATGGAATTGTGGAAAAGTTTATGTCAGATGAAAGAAATACAGTATTTACTCATTGAATTACCTGGAAGAATTTTGTATTTCTATTGGAATTTAAGGTTTTATTTCAAATATTTGTCTCTTAAGAAAAAAAGTTTTTTTTCAACTTGCCTTTTTCATTACACATGGTATTTTGAGATTGTTCCATGTCAATACATAATTCTTTTTGTATAGCTGCAGAAGATTTAATTTTATGGATGTACAATAATATATTGGAATAGTCCCTACTAAACAGATATTTTAATTGTTTTGCTAGTATAAATAATGCTGCACAGCCCTGGCCAGTTTGGCTCAGCGGTTAGAGAGTCAGCCTGAGGACCAAAGCGTCACGGGTTTGATTCCGATCAAGGGCATGTACCTGGGTTGCGGTTTGGCCCCCAGCCCTGATCAGGGTCATGTGGTAGGCAACCAATCGATGTGTCCCTCACATCGATGTTTCTCTCTCTCTGGCTCTCTCTTCCCCTCCCTTCTTCCCTCCCTCCCACTCTATCTGAAGATAAATGGAAAAAAATCCTCGGCTGAGGATTTAAAAAATAATAATGCTGCATTTAATGACATTGTACATAGGTCATGTAGCACATTAGTAAGGTCCTATAAGATAAAATTTTAAGTTGGAATTAATAGATCAAACAATGTTTTTGTTTTTTTGTTTTTGTTTTCTTTTCTTTTTTTTAATACTTTAAATGCCCTTGACCGGGAATCAAATCCTAGACCCTTCAGTTCATGGGCTGATGTGCTAATCACAAACCGACCAGATTTGTGCATTTTTATTTTTGATTGGCACATTGCTTTTCTGTAAGGATCGTGCCAATATACAATTCCACCAACAACATGTGAGTCAAGTATTTTGATCCTTGCCAATCTGTTAGTTGAATAAAGGTATTTTAATCTCTGGAATTTTGTACTTTCACTTAAGAATAAGGTTGGGTATCTGCTTGAGGCCATTTATATATCCTATTCTATAAACTGTAACATTTAAACATTAAAACCAAAGTATTGCTGTGTTTTTGCATGAAACCCTGACAAAGTAGTCCGCACAGTCCCAAAATAAGATTAGGTAGTGACAAACTCAAAAGCAGGTATGAGACCTGAATGGTATTGGCTATCTGTATAGGTCATGGAGGAAAAGCAATGGAATGTCTGATGACCTTGAAAACAGATCCCCCAAATCAACAGGTTTCCACTGGAAAGCACGCAGGCCAATTTGAAAACGGCCAAAACAGGAAAATTTCCTGAAGATGCCAATTTGCAGGTGAGTTTAAGGGGACTGCTAAATTCTGAAGATGTTAAGGTAGGCTAGGTCCTTATGAACTCTTGAAACTACAAACCTCAGCTTCATTCAAAAACAAAATCCATGTCAGGGGAAACTGCTGCCTGTAGATAACAAATTGAGCAGGACAAAGGGGCAATGGAAAGACAATGTACAGATAGATAGAAGTGAGGTAAAGAAGAAAAGGGAACAGATCACAGTAAAAATAATAGGATTTTGTGAGCCTAGAAGTTATTGCCCTTTTCCCTCCTAAAAGGAAAATGCATTTCACATAAGTGAGCAACAAGCCTGGCCAGTGTGGCTTAGTGGATTGAGTGTTGTCCTGGGGACTGAGAGGTTCTCGTTCGATTCCCAGTCAGGCCACGTGCCTGGGTTACAGGCTTGATCCCCAGTGATGGGTGTGTAAGAGGTAGCCAATTGATGTTTCCCTCTCACATCAATGTTTATCTCTCCTTTCCTCTCTAAAAAAAATCAAAAACGTTTTTTTAAAAAATGAAATTCACATAAACAATTTATCCCAAGTATTCTATTTGTTTGTAGTCTATTCAGATATGTATGTCACCACAAATTTTAGAGTATTTTTATTAACCTCAAAAAGAGACCTTGTATACTTCAGCAATCACAACTTCTCCCCTTACTCAACCAGCCCTAAACAGCCACTAATCTAGGTAGATTTTCCTGTTTTGACCATTTTATAAGGAATCATTTATGTGGCCTTTTGTGACTGGCTTCACCTAGTGTTTTCAAGATTCATCTGTTATAGTATGTCACCATTTCATCCTTTTATGGCTGAGTAATATTCCCTTGTTTGGATACACAATTTGTTTACCCATTTATCAGGTCATGGACATTTGAGTTGTTTCCATCTTTTCACTATTATGAATGATGCTAAACATTCACCAGTTTCTGTGTGAACATGTTTTTCTCTGTGTTAGAATAGTCATCATAGGGTAATGATTTCAGCCAACTACTAGGCTGTTTTTCAAGGTGGCTGCACCATTTTAAATTCCCACCAGTAGTATGAGGATTCCAGTTTCTTTGCAACACTTAACAGACTTTAATTCTAGACATTCTAGTGGGTGTTGAAGGAATATCTTCTCTTCCCCACCCCAGTTTTACTGAGGTTTAACAAAATTGTTAAGATATTTAAAGTGTACATTGTGATTTGATATGCACTGCTTAATGACAGGGACATATTCTGAGAAATGTGTTAGGTGATTCCATACTGGTGCAGTGTACTATAAACTTGTATAGTGTATTACTGTATGAAACATGAGATTAAATCTAGCACAAGAAAAAAAAAGATACATTCAAGATACAGTAATCAAGATGAGGCTGCTCCTGGTGTAACATGGCATGTTGTTTGGCAGCAAACTTTTTTTGTACGTAGAAAGAGTATACTCTAAAAACAAAAGTACAGTAAATACATAAACCAGTGAGCCATTTATTATCAAGTACTATGCAATATATATAATTGTATGTGCTATACTATTATACAAATGACAGTGCAGGTTTTGCTCACCAGCACGACCACAAACAGGTAATGTAGCACTACGTTGTGTCAGCTATGTCACTAAATAGGAATTTTTCAGCTCCATTAATCTTAAGAGACCACTATATATGCAACCCATCTTCGCTGAAACATCCATTATGTAGCACATGACTATATATACATTGTGAAAGCATTCGTCACTTCACATTGAATGTTAAAACATTCAAGTTCTACTGTTAGCAGATTTCAACTCTACAATACACTAACTGTAGTCATGTTATTTATTAGGTCCTCAGACCTCATTCATCTGATGGCTGAGTTCTGGAGTACTGTATCTCACAGTTATTTGCAGTTCCCTATTGACTGATGTCAAGTATCTTTACTTGTGCTTACTAGCCATTTATCCTCATTGGAGAAATTTCTATCCAAACCCCTGGCCTTTTTTTAACGATTTTAGAGAGAGAGGAAGGGAGGGGGTATGATCTATTTCCAAGGTACGTGCCCTTGATCAGAATCGAATCCACGACTCTGGTCTACAGGCTGACGCTCTAACCACTGAACAAAACCAGCCAGGGTTTTATTGGTTTTTTTTGTTTTTATTTTTGTTGCAGATGTTTCTCCTTTTCTCCCACATTGACTCCTTCCTCCCTATCCCCTCCCCAGTTTTGTTATCTATGTCCATCAGTTATACGTACATGCATTTAAGTTCTGTGGTTTATCCCTTCCCTCTCCCACCCCACCCCCTTCTGAGGAATGTCAGTCTGTACCCTGCTGTTATGTCTTTGGGTCTATTTTGTTCATCAGTTTGTTTACTTCATTATATTCCAGAAATAAGTGAGATCGTGATATTTGTCTTTCTCTGCTTGGCTTGTTTCACTTAGGATAACACTTTCGCCCTGGCCGGTTTGGCTCAGCGGTTGGAGCGTCCGCCTGCGGTCTGGAGAGACCCGGGATCGGTTCCTGCTAAGGGCATGTACCTCGGTTGCAGTTTGTCCCCGGCCATGGTTGGTCGTGCGGGTGGCAGCCACTCGATGTGTCCCTTTCATGTCGATGTCTCTCTGTCTCTTCCTCTCTCTCCCTCCCACTCTATCTGTACAAAAAATGGAAAAATGTCCTCGGGTGAGGATAAAAAAAAAGATAACACTTTCCAGGTTCCTCCATGTTGTCTAAGAGATCTTTCTTACAGCTGCATAGTACTCCATTGTGTATTATGCACCACAGCTTTTTTATCCACTTGTCTACTGATGGGGCACTTGGGCTGTTTCCATATCTTAGCTATTGTAAATAGTGCTGCTATGAAGATAGGGGTACATCTATTTTGATTGATGTTTCATGCTCCTTAGGGTGTATTCCTAGAAGTGGGATCACTGGGTCAAATGGCAACTCAATTTTTAATTTTTTGAAGTAACACCATATTGTTTTCCTTAGTGGCTGTACCAGTCTGCATTCCCACCAGCAGTGTACTAGGGTGCCCTTTTCTCCACACCCTGGCCAGCACTTGATTTGTTGATGGCAACCATTTTGACAGGTGTGCAGTGATAACCTCATTGTTTTACAATCTATTGGGTTTTTAAACTGTGTCCTTTGCATATTCTAGATAGCAGTCTCTAATTGGTTTTCACTTCCTTGATGGTGTCCTTTGAAGCATAAGTTTTTAATTTTGGCAAGTCCAATTTATTTTCATTGTTGTTGCTTTAGTTTTTGGTGTCTTATCTAAGAATCCCTTGCCAAACTCAAGGTCATGAAGATTTAGCCATTTTCTCCAGTTTGTTTCCATTGCTACATTTAGGTATCTGAACCACTTTTAATTTTCATATATAGGGGAAGGGGCCAAATTAATATTAGAATCAATTCAACTTCAAGAAGTCAGCTGGAATTATATTAAATCTGGAAACCAGTTTAGAGAATAGTGCCATTTTAATAATTCTTAGTCATTGTTTTCCCATTTGGATCTTCACAATTTCTTCTAAGTCTTCCACTCTTTTAAAGCCTCACACTCCCGCCCTGGCCAGTTTAGCTCAGCAGTTAGAGCAGTTTAGCCTGCGGTCCAGAGACTTGGGTTTGGTTCCTGCTAAGGGCATGTACCTCGGTTGCAGTTTGTCCCTGGCCCTGGCTGGGTTGTGTGGGTGGCAACCACTCAATGTTTCTCCCCCCCCCCCCCCCACTCTATCTGAACAAAATATCTAAAAAATGTCCTCAGGTGAGGATTTAAAAAAAAAAATGACTTGGAAAAGATTGATTTGGGATGGCTGGCCTGGTTTCATCCCCCGTATTGCCTGGTTTTCCAAAGCAAATTTCACATAT